CCCCCCCCCCCCCCCTTCGCCTCGGATGGGATTACAAGCTTGAATCAGTAGAATGTCTCTTTGTCTCTGATAAGCGAATCCTGCTTCAAAAAGCAAGACTTTCCTTTTGAAAGACCCCAAGTATGAAGACAATGGAATGATTAAGGTTGGGAAAGAAACGTTGCCATATGCTGTAACCATTATAAAATTGTCATCTACCCCTGAAGACCTTGATCGGCAGAATCGTTCATGGAAATCTGGCAGGTCGAACAGTCTGTGTAAACTGAAATATCAAACAATCCATTAATGAGCACGCTGTTCAGCTATCAGCTCAGTTGCATGTAGGGCAGCCATCATCCTTTCTTTTGGATTTATCAGGTGAGCAGAGGCAGGCGCGAGGTGAGTGTGAAAGGCGAGTAACGCGCGAGAGGGGTAGGACGCGACGCGCTCCTCGCCCTCGCTCGGTCTAAGACCATAACAGACCCTCAGTTAGCTATAACGAGCGGAAACAAGAGCGCAGGAAAAGAGATGAGGAAGGGGACGCTCTGTCGCATTTTTCTTCGCTTTCCCACAAATTTCGCGTTTTCGCACACTCTCAATTTGCTTGACTCCACTCGTGAAAACCTAGAACACGCCTGGCGTTTGCTTCCACTTAAATGAAATTAATATGAAGTTTCTTTTCAATACAAATTGTGAATCTCATACTTATTTTATTGTTCTAAGCCATGACAAGTCTACGAGGAGACAAGAACATTTTTCCTCGTCAAACATAAACGTAATCTTTTTGTCACTGACCTCTTTCAATCACACCCGAGAGTAATGGTTCCACTACGCGCGCGCGCAACTCCGGCCGTGCCTCCTTAACGTGTAGTGTGAAGTTTCACTTCGGCTGAAAATTCACGTCTAGTTTAGCCGCGAGGTTTCATAACTTCCCAGATTGTTTTGCCGTTCTATCTCGATTGAGCCAGACCTTTTGGAGCTCAAAATGAAAAGAAAATATGCTAAATAATTCTCATTTCAAAAAACAGCGAGCATGTAGCTCTTTCAAACGACAAAAAAATTAGTTTTAGAGTTAACGATAAATTCATTCCCAAAAGTGATGCGAATTATTATGCTTAAATCTGACTTCAACTGAGGCTTTGCGAAGTTGGGGACTCTTCATTAGAACAGTAAATATCATTTTTGAGGTGTTGACATGTCCCAAAAGTGTTGTTTAATAGAACTTTTTGTCTTGAAATCGTACAGTTTTAATAATTTTCTACTCAAAGCTGCGCAATTTTCTGCTCGTAAGTTTTTGTAATTCAAGCAAGGTTATCTCGTAAATGCAAGAAATTCGTACGTTTTTTGCTTCGTTTTTCGAATGGTTGATGTTATTTTTAAGTGTGGATATTTCTTAAAAGTATTGTTCAATAAGAGATTGAGCAGTCCCTTCTTTTCGGTGAAGTCTGTCGCACGAGTCCAAAAAAAAAATCAACAACCACAAAATTGATGTTGATGCGGCGCAGGAGCTCAAATTTCCAAGCGCAACACTCCCAAAGCTCTTGTGACCCTTTATGGTCAATTTTTTTTCGCTGTATTTTTTGCTTTTTTTGTTTTTTTGGCTCGCGTAAAGGACTTCGCCGAAGAAGAGGGACGTCTGCTCACGGCCTATGTGCATAGCAAGATGCGAAACAAAGTAAATTTCATGCATGCTGGTCTGTTTCAAATATCCAAGATTCATTCATGACATCTTCAGCAAGTAAATTTTTCACATCATTAGATTAATAATCATTAAATAAGTCCCAATTCTCCATAAAAAAAATTACGACTTCATGTTTTTTTTGAGTGTCTCAATCATCTCCTGTACTTGAAATGCAGTTTCACGAACCAGGGCTTTTGCATAAACTGCAATCAGTTTTGAAGCTGAAACAAAGTCCAGTGTACTAAAGATGGAATCCCACAGTGCAAACCCAAGAGTGGAAGGAACAAAGCCACGACCATATTCCACCATCCATGTTCCAGCCGAAAATTGCACAGCAGCAACCTCACCCCAGCCATGAAGCACAAGGTCTCCTGCACCATAAACCTGACTTTCAAGGGTACCATCCTTCCACTGACGTAGGGAGCCAGCTAGTACCGTGTCAGAAATGTTTGCCCAGTAGAGTCCTGAAATAATAAAAGTATGATAAATTATCATCATCATCATCAACATATACATTAGAGTTCCTTTTTTAAATTCCCTTTGAGGTATGAAGCTTCTAAATTGCCCTCAGGAAGTATTGTAATATACTGAGGAATGTTCGAGTACCTTGAGTTTAAGTATATGAGAAATGGGAATGACCCCTTCATTCCAATATGAGTGTGTGTGTGTGTGTAAGAACTTAACCAAGAGAGTTGTGACTATTAACCCTTTTAACTCACAAGATCTGTTTGTTAATTCTCCCCTCTAGCTGTCACTTATTTCCTTGTAAATTAGTTACAAGAATTTGGTGTTAGATCAGTATAACAACTTCTACTGGATGTGTTTGATGATTCTCAGCACCTGTTTTGCTGTGTTAAGTCTGGATGTTACAGGAGAAGTTACATGTTAGTCACTTCTGGGAGCTAAATGAGTTAAGAGATTTCAAATTTATGGAATGAATAAATTTGCTGTTGCTAACACTGATCTTGATTTTTGTCTTAACTCAAGCAGCCAGCTCAACTTCAAATGACGCTTCAAACAACAATCAATGTTTGCAAGCTTGTTTAAAGGGTTCTTTCTGTTCTTCTCTCAAAAAAGGACCCTTATTGAAAGGACCTGCCAAAAACTACCAAGGGGAGAGTGAGTCCTCAACTTAGTTTTGTAGTGCTATTAGATTCTATCTGCAGGAGAAAAGATCAAGTGCGTTTTCAAAGTTTCCCCTTCCCTGTCAAGTAAGCGATGACTAAATTTTATGCTTGGGTCCCTCCCTCTATTTGTTTTTTTTTAATATTTCAAATTCTAGGAGGCTTGTAATCCATCACAACCATGGTCCTTTCACAAGAGAGGAGGAGGGAATAGAGAAGACCCTTGGAATGAGGTTGCAATGCCTAACCCATGCTGCTTACTAGCAAACTTTTGCATTATACAACTTGCATGTAAAAATGGTTCAACCTAGCTATAGTGCTAATGAAAATGCTGTAGCTCATGTTTTACTACACCTGAATGTCCCTGTGTGTCAACAGCTGTACCAAAGAATAGTACGTATTCGGTCAGAGATGCATGCAGTAAATACATCGATCCCATCCAGCCTCCAGCATTCACAAACTGCCACTGTCTTGACTCTTCAGGTAGGATGTGACCTGGGTACTTTTTTTCAAGGTCTAGAGCTATCTTTGTGAACATTGCACGAATGTTTTTGTCTACAAAAAATATTTACATCTCCATCAACATATTGAAGGAGAAAGATCACCTCTGAAAGTCAAATTCATGGCAGGAATAATTTGTTGTTTATCACCAAGATATAGGAAAAAATGCATTTCAGTATCATTATTTCGCAGTTTCTCTTCACGGTAAGTAAAATATGATATTTACAATTATTGTTATAAAATTTGTCGAGCACGCGTGTCTGCACGCGAATACCTGTGTCAAACGTAACATATGCTGTATACAGCCCGGTTTGCCCTTGGGTGAGGGGTCGGGTACAATGCAAACGTCATTAACCTTTCATATTCGTGCAAGAGAAAGATAGGTAATCAAGATAGATTGTTCGCACTGAGTTGTTGAGTAAATAATTTAACCACTATTTCTAACTTCGGCATAGATACATGCGCTAAATGATCTGTAAACAAAGTACAACTTTAAGTTGCCAGGTTTAGAAATGGGTTTGCTCTCTAACAGAGGCCAGGTGTGAAAGTAGGTCCAGAAAATGGCATGTTTGGGGAAGCGGAAGGTATACTCTGTCCAAGAATTGCAAGGAGTACCTCGCTAGGGAAAATACATGTAAATGCCGTAAACTAACCGTTCCCTGCATGGCGTTTGGCTATCCGCGAAACTTCTTCATGCTGGAAAATATAACTTTTAGTTTGCAGCCAGAAATGAATTCCAAAGATGGCTAATCCGAAGAGAATTATATAGGAGGAAAGAGACATCGTGGAAAAGTTGCCTGGTCGTTACTTCCTTCGAATCGCGTGACACCTAAAATTGCCCGCGATCAGACAGCAGTTACTCACTCTCCCCAGCTTTTTTGCGGCCGTAATAAAGATGGCGGATGGACTTGCGACTTGGAGGTTTGCATTTTTAAATCGATCTGATTGTCCTTAAGAACGAGATTCTCAACTTAAATATGAAGTCAAGCTTAAGAGGTAAATACTTATCGACCATTAGTCGTGTATGGTAAATTGAGAAAAGGTAGTATTGAAAAACTGGGGGCAATGGAAGTGTTTATTGTTACCACGTGCACTCATCTGGTTCGCAGTGTTTGGAACGCTCAGAGGCTAATCTGCCATCGATTCTTCCCTTATCAATGCACATGTAGGTCTAACCCTCTGAAACCAGGAGATTTATCTGTGTTAGGTTGTTTTGATCTGAAATGCGCCAACAGCAAAGCGCATCGTGATCGTGAATCAGCTGATGCATAGCTCTAGTACATTTTTGCAGGTGTAAACTTCAAGGCTTCAAGGCTTCAAGGCTTATGAAGTTCACATTACCGTCCAAGTTTGACTACAAGTAGCCAATGATCAGCTTATGGGAAAAATGTGGATGCATTGAATTGGTAGATCACTGAGCTGTGATCATTGAAACATACCGCAAAAAAAAAAAACTTGACATCTGTAAATTTACTTTGATTTTAAGAATACCGCTTTTTCCCCTTTTTTATTGACTCAGGGATTTATTCCAAGTTAAAGGACTCTGCAGTAGCATGGGATGAGAGGCTGTCATTAGCAAGGCATGCTTGGGACTCTAAGGATTGTGTGATTCCAAATAAGCAGCAAGTTCTCTTTGACTGGATCATCCAAGAAATTACTCTTGGGTATAAGAAAGGAGCGAAGTAAGAACTTTAACAATCATGTACACATCAGCAAAATCAATTCAGAATACACATAGAACTAGTGATATTTATTAAAAAAGGAGTATCAGTAACCTGTCTGTTACATGGGTTGTATAAGAGATTGCAGTCAACATATGTCAATCACAGTGAGAAAAGAAATGGTGACCCTGGAAAGGAATATTCTTGGGTATTGCAGTTATCAACTCAATCTGTGGTTGAGAAGTAATCATCAGTCATCAAAAAATATTAGACAAGAAATGTAAGATGTCTGATAAGAATTTCTTAACCCTATAACTCTCAGAAGTGATTAACATGTAACTTCTCCCTCAGATGTAACCCAGCAAATAGGAAATGAGAATACTTAAACTTATCAAGTAGAAGTTGTTATCTTGATCTAACACCATACTCTCACAACAAATTTACCAGGAAATGTGCAGCTGAGGGGTAGAGAAGAGAATTAACCTTAAGATCATGGCAGTTAACCCTTTCACTCCCAGATCACATAGTAATTCTCCTAACTGTCTGACATACAAATCTTATAATGTTAGTTCAGAGAATTTAGTATGGGATCAACTAAGTATCTCCAAATCAATATTTTCCTTTTTCTCATGACTTGTTTGGTTGATAAAAAAAATAGGTCTGTTGATCACGAGCTTTTGAGTGGACTTTGGCTGCTGCTTCTTCATACTCTCCAGAGTCAAGAAGATCTTTATAGTCCAGGGAATCTGCCAATCACTCTAAAATCTCAATTTATACAGGTTTGTCTTGATTTGTTTGCATCAAAAATCTATTCCATTATGATAATACTTAATTAAAATTCTTTACACCTCTAATTTAACTGTTACTAATTCACAATCTGTGTCTAAAGGTGTACACACACTATTTTGAACTTTACACTGTAGTGTTAACATTAATTGACAATGGAAAAGCTATCATCATCCAGCTTTTTAAAGTGGAGTATACACAGGAATTTGCAATACTTGGTGTAACAAATACCTATAATTATATTAAAAAATGCATCCTATATATTTACCTGGCTGCTAAAGATTGTCAGTAATAATTTGTGATAAATTCATTTTTCCAATCATTAAGAAAATAAATGACTTCTTTTTCTTCAAATCCCATGTTGATAATGTCATTATTTGGGTTATCTATGAATTTTTCAAATATTTTTTGTGGCATTTTCACTGCTATGCATGTTACTGGACAGGACGAGTAACAAACCATTTGGACTCCTTACATATATGGTATTTCTTTCTTGTAAAATGATACTGTATCAGTGTTTTTGCTCATGGTGATGATAGTTAACTCGTGAAAATATTATATTTCGAAATTGGTACCTTTTTTTTCTCAGGTATTTACAGATGCATTCATGTTTAAAGATTCTGTACAAAATGGAGCATCAATCAGCACCCCTATCAGCTGTTGCTATGCCATCATGTCTACACCTCACCTCAGTGCATCTATGGTGGCCAAATTTGAAAGTTATGTAAGTAAACCTATTTTTCTGAGCCCATCTACAAAATTCCATGAAGTCTCTTGCTATATTAATCACTGGATTTCAAGTTATGTCCAGAAATTCATGCTGGCAATAACACAAATGGTGAAAATTCATCAGAATTGTCAATTCCATGAACATTCCCTTGGTTTGACAAAATTTTATCTTATCTACCATTTTTGTTCCTGGACTTCTATAATCTTACCATGTAAATCTATATTTTAGGCATCCTTCCTTTCAGCCTTGGTGACCTTGTATCTCCAAATATGCAGTGAAAGATCAGAAGAGCTTCACTTACTCTTAGAGATTTGCTTACAAAAATATCTTTTGGTGCAGAGACAACAAGCAAATCAGCGAAAGGTAATGAACTATGACCTAGTTGGTTTATATAAAAATGCAGGTACAATATATGATTAGATAAGAGGACTCAAGGAGTGGGAGAATTCCTGAATGTTATGGACTGGGGCTCAGATCTGTTTGACTGTCTTAAAGTCTTTCCCTAAATTCTCCCCTGTTTTGATCAGAATGGATATAATTATAAACTTGGAAAAAGTCCTCCATGTTTTCCACAGGAAAAAGAAACATATTTAAAGTTATTGTGGTGGTATCTTTGAGGTCTGTTCAAAGATCTGTCCTTTATAAAGTATTCTTCAATTCATTAGGTGTTCACGTCCATGTGCCACCAACTTCTAGAACCATTAATCAAACTGCGTCACATGTTGAAAGGCTTTTCTAAGATCTGTCAACCTATGGTGCTGTGTGGAGATCAACAACCTGAAGATAGTTGGCAAATTGGAAAAATGGAAAAGATCTCTTGCTTGTTGGAGTTAGCAGTAACCAGATGCCTCTTTCATAAGTATGCATATAATTGTGAATATTGGTTCCATGACTGAAAATCATTAGGTCTGTGTGACATCTAGTTGCTTTGGTGGATGCTGAGGGAGGGTTTCTTCCCCTCAACCATTATACCTGTGGGTGTTTTAACCACTGCCCTTACACCAAAATTCTTGTCAGAATCACAGATTGTTTCACTAAACTGGTTAATTTTTTTGGGTAACAGGTTCATTTAAAGAATGTAGCTGGTTACCCAAAAAAATTAGCAGGAGAAGCAGGAGATGCAGGCATAGGCTGGTCAAGCAGTAATTTTGGACATCCCCTGTAAAATTAAACCACCCCTGAATTTCAGATTATTAGCTTTCCTTATGTAAAGATATACAGTCACACAGACATGTGGATTAAAAGAGTGAGAGGCTTGCAGTAACAGACTTAAAGACACTTGCAGACCTACAGATGTGCATACATACACAGTTACAGTCTTGTAGAATTGTGTTGTCCTAGAGACTAGCAAACTTAAGAGATTTTTGTGCAAGCATCCTTAAAAATAATTATTGCAGAGATCACATGGCAGAGTATCCTCAGGCTTTCAGAGGCCAAGAGGAAAAACAAACTGAATCTGATGAACCTGCTAACAAGAAAGCAAGAATTTTTAGTTATCCCAAGCTTTTGTTTGAAAAGATATGGGAGATGGTGGAATCACAAGCAACAGTATGTAGAATGAATGTTTCCTACAAATAATGTTATGTTTAATAAAAGATGTTTTTTTTGTTGTCATGTACATGGGACAAAGAAAAAATTTGAGCTGTCATGAGGAATAGAACCCCAGACTTTTGGGTTCATTGCCCCAATGCCTTACCACAGAGCTATACACACTCCCTATGCTGGGATGAATATTAGAAAGGTGGTGAATTTTTGCTGAGCACTGCATGCATGAGAAACCTGGTAATGACTTCAAGTTCAGTATATATAGACAATATTTGTCTATTTTTTTGTTTATTTGCTTGTAATAACTTTGCCATTTTACCTCAATTAGGCAGATGTTGACACAAAAGAGGCAGCTTTGGATATTCTTCCTTTTTTATACAAGGAATTTATCAAATCAAATAGGTTGGTGCATGCACAGTCATAATTATTGAATGGATGTAGAACCCAGTCAACTCTCTATGCCCAAGGTGGCATGAATATGCATATTCTCCTCATGGTTCTCTCAATATTTCCTATGATTCTGAGAAGGAGAATTTGGTTTGTTACAGTCAGGAGCTTCTCTGGGCAAAGATCATTTCCTTTATTCTCATAACCTTAATGTTTGATTCAGCTGTAATAATGAAGGAAGAAACTAGATGCTGATCTTGGTGGTATGCCCTTGTTTACTTTCTAGAAAACCAAACTGTTCTGCCTCTCCTGTGGAGTTTGCCTTTTTCACAGAAATGTGTCAGTTGCTTGGTGTGTTGAATGGAAACAACATAACCCCCAGTATGTTCACCTTACTTCATCAATTGCTGGAAAGCATCCTGCACTATGATATTTACCAGGTACATTCATGTACATTTTGTTATTCAAAAAATAGATTCCATTTAATATGTAAACAGAATAAAAGAGATGGTAAGTTTTGAGCTCAGTAAAGAAATGGAGAAAGATGTTTTTGTCTTGTCATGAACATGGGACAGAGAAACAATTCTGAGTCCCCATGAAGAATTGAACCTCAGACCTGTGGATTCCACTCTCTGATGCCCTACCACTGAGCCTTAGGGATTCTATGATGAGCAAGGACATTATGAATGTTATTCTTCGTGGAGACTCAGAATCTTTTCTTTGTCCCATGTTCATGACAAGATGAAAACATCTTTCTCTGGACTCCATTTTGCCATGTGTCTGTTCAGCAATAGATTGCACATGACTTCAGAATATGGCAAGAACATTGGTGACACACAGGGCATTGGCAATTTGGTTTTATCTGTTTTTTTCTTTCTTCCTTTCTCTCTTTTTTTTTCCCTCTCATTATCACAATGTTGTCCCTTAATCATGTTAGGTAAAGACATTTTCAAACTGGGTAAGCAATCCTTACACCCATTTTTTTTTTTCAAGAACTTCAAGCAATTTTATACAGTAATAAGAGGCTTTACAGGTGATAAATTTCACCATTTACTGCCTGAGAAGGAGAGCTCTGTAAACTTTCAGGATTGCATCAGTCTAGGGAAGGCAGTAAAATAATATCAAAAATAAATTTCCAAATAGAAATTACTTATTAACATGTAATAAGCTAAAGTTTTTTTTAATTGATTTCAGTTTGATACTCTATTTTTTTGTAATTCAAGGTATCAGATGACAACCAGAATGGCTTGGTACAATTCAACTCTTATGACAGTTTGGTCAAGATTGTAATTAAGACAGAGGAACCAGGGTAGGTGTTGAGTTGTAAGTGCTGTAGCTGTGTAGCATGCATGTATGATGTATGTATCAAAATGGTTTGTCACTTCAAGATATGCTGTACTTGAATTGAAGTTTTAAAGATGAAAAGTGTGGAATCCGAAGGTCTGAGGTTTGATTCCTCATGGGGACTCAGAATTTTTCTTTTTCTCTAACTCTTGACAAGAGTTAGGGACATCTTTCTCTATGAAAATGAATGTGAACAAATTTTAAGGTGCTTTGATTGTTATGAATTTGATACTCAAAAAACTAGGTAATTTGAAAAGGCAGTTAATTTCCTTATGTCTTGAAACTGTTACTATCAATCTGGTGCACTCTCTACACCAACATCAGTATGCATATTCTCCATTCTGTTGTTCATGCATTTTCTAAGGTGCTGACAAGGAGAATTTGTGTGGCAATCAAGAGCTTCTTTAGTTGGTGATCATTTCCTTTATTCTCATGACCTCAATGTGTGTTTCAGGGGTGATATTGTAAGGAGAAGTTAGATACTAGTCACTTTCTGGGGTCAAAAGGTTGAGCAAAAGAAATTGTTTTTTTTGCGGGAGAAAGATCATTTTTAGTTCACAATAAAGGCCTTATTTTTAAAATCGGAGGCATGGAATATTTCTAAAATAACTTGTTGCGCCCTGTTACTTTCTAATTTCCCGTTATTGTCAAGAAAATCTTGTTACCGTTACAAATACTCCTCTTTTTGTGTTGTTACTTGCAGCAAAGCTGTATTCCAGTGTCTTGATGTTCTGCTAAAACTGAATCACTCCTTGGTTGAGCCACACTTAGATGTTATTTGGAAAATGCTGTGGAGAACGGAATGCAGTGCTGGTGATTCACACAACTCTTTGATGAATTCTCTCATCTCCACGTATGTTAAACTGCGACAGGTATAGCATATACTCTGCACTGTTCACTTGCCTCTAACAGAAGCCGTATTGAAGACTGGTTGATATTTTGGGAAACTGTATTTCTGAGCCATATCTTTTTAGTCCGCAAGTATTCCCTCATAAGGAGCACTCCGAACCGAGTTTTTCTTCGCTCGTAGGAAAGTCCGGGGCCTTATAAACGATATAACTCCCAAAAGTGATTAACGTGTATCTTCTCCCTATAATACATATACGTTATCTAGCAAACAGGTAATGAGGATACTCAAACTTATCAGATAGAAATGGTTATCTCGATCTAACACCAAACTCTCGCAACAAATTCACAAAGAAATGTGTAGCAGCCAGAGGGGAGAATTAATAATTATCTTTGGAGTTAAAGGGTTAAGCGACGCGAGCCAGTGACAGGCCTGCAAGGGGCCTAGCACTGATAATAAGGGCCAGGGCAGACACTCTCCAACTCGACTCAAATCTTCCCGCGGGCGGAGGAACGCGCGTGCCGGCAGCGCCAATAATGAAGTTCTGCTCGCACGCTTTATTATTTTGTTTGATATCTAGTGCAGTAGCTCTTCCTTTTTGTTACAACTTACAGTTTGATAAACTTGTTTTGGCAATTCTGGATTCTTTGAGAAGTTTGAACCCTTCAAGTTCTGGATTAACGTCATTCTTCAACCAAAGGTTGGCAACAATTTGTTTTCATTTTTACTGGTATAGTATCGCTCGCGTGTATTGCAACACCCCACACGCGTTTAGCGCGTAGAACACGTTTCGGGTATACGAGATCATGTAAATGAGCCCGTAGTCATAACTAAAGGAATCCCGTGCTCAACGCCAGCATTCTTTCGTTCAGTTATTAATAGATTGATTGTTATAATCGATCCTCTGATTCTGTTTCAGATTTATCAAGGCTATCCAAGGTCTTCCCCTCGGCCAAATTACCACGATATGGAACATATTTTGTAATGAAATCACTGAAAACTACCTTGGAAATTATATATTGCAAGGATCAGAAGCAGCTCCAGGAAATAAACTGAATGCAAAGGAAAAATCCTCGCCACAGTTAGCCTTGTGGAAAAAATTGGAATATGTTTCAAGTATCTTCTGTTCGTTTCTTCTCCACACGAGTTTTGTGGGGATCGGAGAACATCGAAAGGGAAAAACCTCTTTATCCGTAGTGGGAACATTGTTAAGTCGTACAGTACAGGAAGTGCTCGACCCTATGATAGAGTTTTCATCAAAAGTTCAGCATGACAGAGTGAGTGTAGTGTGGAAATTTGCCCATCGCAAGCGCCTTGAGCGCAAGAAGCCCAAGCTCGAACAATGAGCCTCCGTGAATATGTAATTATTTTTACGTTGCGCTATGGGCGAAATATAAGGATCTGTATACTAAAATACGGTTGCTCTCAACCTCAAAATCTGAACTAGTTTTTAATAAAAACAACTCACCTCGGTTATGTGGTTGTTTCTTGGTGTCGTGTGAGTTTCCTGGGCTGATTTAAGGTCGTTTAGCTCGGTTTTAGTTCATATTCTGTGTCCGCTATAATCACAGTACGGAGGCTCCATGTGCGAGCTGGAGTTAGTATGTGTGTGTGTGTTATTTCACACACTTTGCTATGACACAGTATCGAAATTCAATAACTAAACTGATTTATTTGATTTTTTTTCCGCTCCAGGTAAAAGAATCGGCTTGTTTCTCTATTTTGTTGTTACAACGTGCCCTAGGAGATCTAGCACTGTTCTTGGGAGATTTTAAAATTGCCAACTTAGACAATGAAACAACCAGATTACTACCATCAGTCGAGTGGATAGATGCGATGAATGATTTTGTTCCCGGAAAGCGGAACAAAGAAATTCTCGCCGTTCTCTCTAAAGACAAAGGAAGACTTCGTTATCTTATGGTTTGTAACAGATAATTTTATCTTAATTTATTGTTTGTGGCCATATGCAGTTCAAGGCGACATGTAAATGTTTATTCATGGGCACACCAACATCCTATGTGAGATTTTTCCTTAAGCAATTAGAGAAGAACTTACCATAAAACTTGCTCAGCCAACTCCTTACTAAACGCCAACATCAGTATGTTGACAGTATCCATACTGTTTTCCATACATTTCCTGAGGTGATGACAAGGAGAATTTTTTATAACAATGAGGAGCTTCTTGAATCGGTGATCATTTTCGTTATTCTCATGCCCTTTATATCTGATTCAGGGATGATATTGTAAGGAGAAAGTAGACGTTAGTTACTCCTAGTTGACGAAGGGTTAAGATTGTGCACGAGACAAGAATACTTGGTAAAGCATAGTCAACTCGCCTAGCTCTGATAGCGTGTCCCGATTATTGTGGAATTGAGGCAAACGTCTATGATTTCATGTACATCCTCGCAGCTAACATCATTTGTAATGGACAATGATTTGGTAAAGTGAGATCTTCATGCGAGAGTAACTCGCATGGTAACATCAGCCTATCCTCCCAACCGTCGCTCGAAGCAAAGCGCTTGCGAGGAGGATTCCTACTCGATCCAGATGTAATGCTGCCTGGGCACGCTACGCCTATACTTACATCAGGTTTTTCTGACAGTTTATTGGCTGAGAGAGGATTGGAGAGAGGTGAAGTTGATAGTCAGCTCGAAAGTTACCAGGCCACCATCTTTCCTGCGTAGAGAATTTAGTAAATGTGTCTTTTCTGTTTCTTAGAGTGCTCTATGTATTCAGAGCATCAGATATGCTTTACTCCACGAGAACAAAACAGCAGAGAAAAAGGGTGAAGGGAATGAGCTCAAGAGATTGGTGTCTTGTGTTTGCAGTTCCGTCAACGACACTCTTTGGTGTAGTGCATCTTGGGATAGACAAGTAGGTGAAAAAAAAGATTGTAAATGGTTTCTTTTTTAAAAATTATTTCTAGAATTTCAAGAATATCCCAGATCTTTCGAAGGAATATATGGGTGGTTGAACTTGGTTTATAGAGTAATTTCATAAAATATCTTATTTTATTTCTTCTTCATTTTTTTTTGTCTTTACGCAAAACAGGAGCGGTCAATCAGTCAAGAGAATGCCCTAGTTGCATTATGGGATTTGATCAGCAAACATGCCGCGGTGATTCTTCCTCTATGTACCGCTGACCAACAATTACAGATTGCTCATTTGATCATTAGGACTATAACTCAGGAGACGCAAGATGCGCGACAAACACAACTAGGGTATGTTACGAAATGACCAGGAGAAATCTGTAGAACCAAACCATTTTCCCGATAACGGATCAGTCTCACTCTGACATGTCAGCACATTCGTCACAAGCGATGAAAAGCACCACTTTGTTTTTGTAACAATCACTACACAATCGCACGGGCCCCTAGGGCTCATGCATTTTTGTTGTCTTTGAAAATTTTTCTTGTGCTTATTAAAACCAAATTGCACTCGAAATCATGTTATTACCAAGACTAACTGTACTCATGTTCTTTCATTTCTTTATCAATTGATTTATTTTTCTTGTAGGTGTATTACCTTGCTTGATGTATCGATGGAATTGATTCAAAATGCGAGCTTTCACGAAATGCTTGCCATGCAGTCCGGTACAGTCTGTGCCTTTTGGGTTCGCCTTAGACATGCTATCGATTCTGGTGAATGGTAAGTATTCATTAACTAGCTTATCGGATTTTGATGTCTCAGAGGGCACTAGGAACACTTTGTTGATTATCCTCGTTCATCAAAACAAATTTAACTGCCTTGACGCCAAGTTTCGAAATCTCGACGTTTTAGTGTTAATGCTATCCCTTGAAGCTTCGCCTGTACATAACTAAAACGGATTCACTCGTTTAGGAACTAGAGTTACTTTTTTCTTGCTTAGTATGGGAAGTCTCCCTCTGTCTGTGAGAACAGCACACACGAGGAGCCTGCGAGGGGACATGCCTCCCACCTTCGCGTGCACGTTTTCATCTTGCGCACATCTGTGTGGTTTCAAAGGGCTAACCCAAAAATGATTCTTACTTGGTGACTTAGTTCGCACAGTGGATTGACAGTCGGGGGTTTTAGGAAGAATTCGCGCAATTAAGACCAATTCTTATGTAGCTTTTTCTTATCACTGAAAAGTAATATCAGCGACTACTTAAAATATCTTGTGGTATTCTTATACTGGATAAGTTTCGCCATTACAAATTATTAATCACAAAGACATCGTTTGAGTCTTGACTTTTCTCCAGTAGTGCTAATAGTCTAGAAGAGAGACTGATGAAAGCTTTATCCAGTATTGCAACGTTAGCCGCCTCAGACGATGGAATTTTGACAGAAACGTGTGATGATCACAGCGCCAATAATGGCGAACAAGAAGAAAGTATTGAGGATTCAGAGGGCGAACAAAGTGGTAATTAAAAGTGTCTGCTGATCGATACGAGGCTACTTCTCTCCCTGCCTCCCCCCTCCCCCCTTCGTCTTCTAATCTACTCTTTCATTACATTCAGCGCTCCGAGCTGTGACCTTTAAGGTCATTCTGGCGAGTAGAAAGGTTGACGACTAAGTTTACTATGAGAATCGTCAATTTGGTGACCTGTGTGTGTCGGTCATGTAGAAAGGTTTTATTGTAGTGTTTATAGTCTAAATAAAAGGGAGATGAATATTTGTATATAATATTGTGTCGATGACGCAAATGTCTTTTTTCTATTTTTCTTTTTTTGGCATTCTTTCTATTTCTTCTTCTCCATTCTAGCCATTGAAGCCCGTAAACTGTATTTTCTATTCTTTTCATTGCCTTTGTAGCGGAGGAAAGTTCCGACGACGATAAAGGCGAGAATGAAGAGAGCAGAGCAAACGAAACTCGTGAGAGTGACAAACCACGAGGGGATAACTTGCAACCCTTCCATTCTCTCTGTTTTGACATAACTAAGATATCCAGTAGTGTTTTATCTGCTGAAGTGCACAGTACCAACTGGTCGGCATCAGCTGAAAAGATCAAGCAATATATAAGGGTATGGCTGAAAACTCCACGCGTGAAATAGTAAACGGCGACATAATAGCGGCGGAGTGAAAAAGCGAGAGAGGTTTACTACGGGTCACGTTCTCCCTCGTTTTTCCACCACTGCTTCTATCGCGCTGTGTACCATCATACTTCGTTTTTCCAACTGAACGCCTGGTGCAGGCTAGAACTCTGGGTTTGATATGTGTAGAGTGTGCTCATTTGTCTTTCTTTGAAGTGAGTCTTGTCACGCAACACGTGGCGTGATCAGGCCCAACGACGGCTGCTTTGTCGGCAATGGAGGGAGCCGTATTCTACGTTTTTTCCCGGTGAATCTCTTTTAGTGACAACGAAATATACTTTTTTGTGTGTTTCAGGTTCTGGGTTTCCTTCCTCTTGATTGGCTGTCTAATGAGAACCATGTTCGCTGTTTGATTGGCCTGTTCACTTGTGACGTGCTTCTGGGTTCTAACGTTTTCCAGGTGAGGACAGTAATTTCGCGGTGTAATTGGTCAGGAAAATTCAATTCATCCTCTTAACTAATCAAAAGCAAAACAAACAAACAAAAAAACGCGACTTAGTCATCCGCTTTTTCCCGCGCTTGAGGCTGCTTACGTATAATTAGTTCGAGTTCTCAATGGTTCCTTATAGCGTTGACCTTTATCCTGATTGGCTCGATTTCGTTCCCAGGGGGCGAGAAGAATAGAGACTCTGATAGATCGAGGTAGCTGAATTGTTGGTGTGATTAGTGTTGTTTTAATTTATGACACCTGACGAAAAGCGTTTCATCATAAAAGGGAACGCTTTTCCATTTCTGATTTGACCTTTGTAAAATTTCCTAGGATTGCTCTCCTGACACGTTAAAGCCTCTCTCACTGAGCCGCCATCTCCTTAGTGTTCTATTCGATGGCAGCGTCACAAGACGAAAGTTTGTAGCGCACCATGTGCTCGACTTGGATTCGCTACACTCTTGGCTTATTGGTTCGGCTACCAGACTATGGCGACAGAAATGCACGGTGAGAATGCCAATTCATGATTATATCTGTGAATTACATAGTATTACGTATTGCAAATTATAGCCGTGTGCAGCACCACCAGATCAACTATTTTCGTATCTTGGAGTAGTTGGGATCACTTTATAGACCTTCGTAATTTCCATGTACTTGATGACATTTGATGCCAGTTCTTTTTAAATTAGTTACTTGAAAAGATGACATCAGTCAATTTGAATCATTCTAGTATCAATATAGATGTCTCTTTCAATATTTTGTAGTGTGCAGGCAAAGTCTCCCGTGGGATGTGGGTTATTGCCCAATTTAGGTAGCTTTTAAAGCAGATTTCTGTCATGTTTGCACAAGTTGTTCGATGTCAATTTGTGTTTACCGAGGTAGTTTGTGATAACCAGAGCACTCGTTTTAATTTTTATTAGGCTTAAAAACACCTAAATGCAGGAGAATTGATTGGACACCCTGTGTATTACCCTTTGCACCGTAACATCAGTATGTATATTCTCTATACTGTTTTCTATACATTCCCTGAGGTGCTGACAAGGAGAATTTGTTTAACAGTCAAGAGATTCCCTTGTCGATCATTTCCTTTATTCTAGTGACCCTGATGTATGATTCAGGAGTGATATTATAAGGATAATCTAGATGCTGGTCAGTTCTTGGAGTGAATGCGTTAACTATTCATCACTATGAGTATTCGATATTTCAATTAAGGATTTACACTTTACTTCTTGTGTGTTCCCCGACAGAATCCAGCTACTGTGACTGCTATGAACCTTATGGTAAGGCAAACCAGAGATCTTTTCTTCTCTACATTCAAGTACCTCCTCAGAGCTCCCTTCCAAACAGTCAACGCAGTTCAGAAGACTACAGAGACGGTAACGATCACATATGTTTTAGCCTTGTGATACTCTTTAAAGGTGGTGGTTTTAGCTAGTCACACAGGCACACTTGGAAAGCAGGAATAGAACCTGTGACCTTGTGAGTGCTTATTCGGATGGGAATATAATGGGATATTTACGGCCCCAGTAGGGAAGGGGTATGCTTCCCTTCTTTGGCTTGAAAGATTTGTGTTACCAAATACGGTGCGGTTTTTCGATGTTTTGGTGTAAAATTTTACTACGTAGCCTCTTGGATAGCGTAAACATTGGGGCCTGAAGTCTTGAACTGGGGGAGAATTTTGGCAGTGGGCGATCTATATCTTAAATAATAACTCTTTTTTCTTAAAATTGTAATTCTAAATATTCCCCCTGGATGTGGTAGACGTGGGTCCACGAAATCAACACGCTGCTATCCGAAGCAGTTTTTTAATTTGAACAGGGTAAACGAAATCAAAAGTTTTTTTGCCCTAAATAGGGTCAGGTTAGAGACTGGCCTGGTAAGCAAACCCTGTCTAAAAATTAACGTGATGAAACCTCTTCCCCCCGCCACTCCCAAACGGAACTCGTTGAAGCTGGATTACACTCATTTACGCATGCCTTTGTCAACTCTATTTCCCAAACTTCGGCTGTTCTCGGTATGGTCACGAGGATCATAATTTGATGTTTAATTGTTTGTTTATTTATTTATTTATTTTACTTTTTACAAACTTTCCAGTTAACAGATGAATTACAGGCTTTCTCAGCAGAAGTGCGGGATGCGTCAGTAGACTCTTTGGAAAAATCCCTCACCTCTTATCATGTAGTTTCAGTCGTTGTAGAGGGAATTTTGGCGCTGTGTAAAGAAGTGAGTGTATTATTTCTTTCTGCCTCCGATGTTTTACGCCCAATCTCTTACCAGGTTTGGGAAAAACGAAGGCACCAAGCTTTTTCCCGCGCTTTGCGCAGCATGCTCAATTTTTCTAATAAGTTCTGATTGGCTCCTCGAGATGTTCCTTTTGCTCTGATTGGCCCTGTGTAACGTAAATCCACTCTTTCGAATAAACCCGAAGCTTGCAATAGGATGAGTATTTTTGTACCTGGGTAAGTTGGTCGACCTTAATTAAAACGTTAAGTAAACACAATTATCTTTCTTTCTCAGGTTGTTAACAGCAAGATAACCTCAAACAAGATGATCAGGATTTCGTCCGACGTGGTGATAAAACTTGGCCCAGTTCTACTTGAGCTACTGAGAGGAATTGTTCAAAAGTTACGGCGGAAGCCGAGAATTAAGCACTCAGATGCTCAGAAAAGCACTTTATCTGATTTTTTCTTTCAATGGCCGGACTATATTGACTCGTTCACTTCCTTGCTTCATGTTTACTCCGTTTCCGAACAGTCCAGGTAATTATATATGACGACTTTTTCCCTTTTAACTCCCAGATGTACATGTATATATGGTCTTTCTTCTTAAAATTTAAGGTGTCATTCACCTAAACGGCGGTGAGAATATACTTGTGTATCAGGAAATTGACGCAATTGATAGACAAACAAAATGTAGATGTCTTAGAAGAAAGTTGGAATTTAATGAACCGTATCTTGAATGAGCCGAAGGATTTATTTGCTGTCGCACATGCAATGCCCTTTTTGTCAGTATTTTTTCCATATATCATAGCAAATGAATTGATGCGTTATCCTGAGATATTAAAAGCCTTGTCGTGAAAATCCTACCGGTTTTTTTCAAAACCTGCGTGTATTGGTCAGAAAATAATTTGTAATTTCATTTTTTCGCCGTTCATTTTAAGCTTACCTTAGTTATGTATGTAAATTACCTTTGTCGTTAATTCCGCTTTCAGAAAATTGATTCGTGTAAATGAAGCTTTCAAGCAGTGTGAATGGCAAGAAGTATTTGACGTCATGTTAGCAGCAGTCGTGCATAATGTTTTCGAGACGGACCAGATGGAGTCAGCACTTCCAGCGAATGGGCACAAGGTACACCTCACGATGTCGTAGGGCGAACAATTTGGATAAATTCGCTTGGCTTATGGGGAATTCGCCCTATTACAAGTTTGCCCCCCTACCAGTTCGCCCTCATTACGGCGAACCTACTCCATCAAATATAGCAGAACTGGCAATGGGGCGAAACTTCCAGATTCGGCTTGTTCAGAAGAAAACGATTATCTTTCTCTGGGTCTTTAGTGTTTCGCCACTGAGTACGAGAGTTGTTCCTTATTTTTTTCTCTTGTTTTCCTGCGCGCTTGTACCAGAAGGTACGTGCACAACTTGGGAAGATGAGAGTACATTACGATAATTGTGGCCATATCGTTTCGTCAATTGTAATTATGAATGGTTTCGAGGATTACATACTTACATCACTTTCCTTTCAGGATCGAATCGTGCGTGCCTGTCTGCGTTTCCTCAGAGTGGTGTGTATATCCTGTGTAGCGTTACATTTACCGGTAGATTTTCGCGTTCGACTTCTGGCTTCGACGCTCTATTTTTTGAGGAAGCTGGAACAAAATAAGAAAAATTGCACTGAAGATCGTAAAAAAGATGACCGCCTTAGTGATATGAAGAGTGGCCTCCATCAGAGTGAAAAGATAGAAAAGTGTATAAGAGAGCAAGGCAGATTTTCTGATAGTGAAAGCATTACAGAGGAGGGGTATCTTCTGGCTGTGTCACTGCTCGAAGGATGTGATCCTGGTCTTCTACCGGAACTACTCGAAGGATTAGGAGACGAAATTGTGAGTAAACTGCCTTCGTCTATGAGACATGGCAGTGAGTTAATCTTTTGCTTTTTAACATTAAACACTTTAGGTTAAAGAACCTTGCCAACTTCACCGTTTCTTGGACAACTTAAAGTCACACCTGGATTTTCTTTCCTCTTTTTTTATCAGAATATAAAGAACATTGGTAATGCTTGTTTTGAACGACTAACTGTTGTTCTCCGCGTTTGGCTTCGTCTGTTGAGTGGACGATTTACCAAAGACAGAAGAAAGGAACTTCGCCCAATATTACCCAAGGTTTGTCTGACTCACCTTTGATCAATGACAAGCATTGTATACACAGTCCGCTGTATGAAAAAATACTTTCTTGGTAAAGGATTCCTTACGTTTTAAATCAAGAATCGTTGCATTGAATTTAGCATGTTGGACAAAACCAAGAGTTACACTGTATTAGAATCAGACTTACTAGGCCGGTCATTACAACAAAGTTTAGCCGTTGTTTATCAAAACCGCGTCCTAAACAATCCTCAATTTAGCTGGATCTTTTATCTGAACATTTATCTTTGTGAACACAGTCGAGGGGGCTGAAAGCAAACAGTGGAGAGGTGTTCATTGATTATTAAATAAACCCACTTAAAGAGAAAGCCCGAGGTTCACTGATTACATAAAACCATGTGTCGACCCACTGTGTTTTGTTTGCCGGGCTTGACTGTTGGCTAAGGAAGAAACATGTCGCGCATAAAAAAATTTATTAAGTAAACGAACAAAGAAAATTTAAATAATTTCTCTAAATAGTTCAATTCTTCTGTTAAATCTGCGCCCCTGCGCTTATTTTTAAGTTTACAAACGTAGTCAGTGGAAACCAGCGTCCATTATTGACTAGTATCTCATTTTTCTTTACCAGACTTTACTGACAGTACAGTCCATATTACAAGAATTAAAAAGTGAAAATCTCATGGTTGTCAAACTGGCTACTGAGGTCATGGAAAAAATTCTCTCCCTTGGAAAGGTTTGTAGACTGTTTGTCGAATTACAGTGTTGTTTGTTCATGCTTCAAGTTTTTTTTTCGCAATTGCTTTAAAATACAGTTCACTTTCGAGGATTATTTCTTCGCTTGATTCAAATATGATTCAATCCACTTCAGTTGTAATTAGGACAGTGACAAATATTGCGAGGAGCCAATAAGAACTGCCTTTAGCGCAGGCGATCAGGTGGTATAATTGGCTCAACGCTTACGTCTGATTGCATATGATTGCATCTGCTGATTGCATATGGTTGCATTTGATTGCATTTGATTGCATCTGGTCCCAGTTGTTCGAAGATCGGATAACCCTATCCACTGGATAAATCTCTACCCGGTGGATAACGCTGTACGCTTTGCTATTACTTATCCGCTGGATAGCGATTTATCCGTTGGATAGCGTTATCCGCCCTTTATGCACCTGGATCCTGATTGCAGCGTGGGTTTCTAGAACAATCGCAGAGCGCGGTAACGTAAAACCACGGTGATGTTGTATTAGGGTGTTTTTTGAACTGAGTCAGTCAAGAGTCAGTAAAGAGTCAGTCCGAACAAAGGCAATTACCAATGGCGAAAACTCAAAATAAAAATGAGTAAACTCCGTAATTCGTAGGAAAACACAGGTGGCTAAGATGCGATCAGTTTAAATTTGTCATTGGATTGGTTTAGGAGGTGTTGCGAGTTTTCTCGACCAATCAGAGCGTAACATATTGAAAACAACGAAATGCCAGACTATACTCAGCACTGAACGGAAAATTGTTTTAAGAGACGCGGTTTTTTGTACTTTTTTTTCCAAATTAAAGGGGCAAATAGCTAGCGGTTTCTACTCATTTTTTTATTCAATAATCAACATATATTTTCATTCTGAATTTCAGGGGATGGTTCTTCCCCATAACGCAGTCCTTGTCCTGCACAGTGGTTTAATCAAGCTTGTAGCTAATGACAAGAGTTTCCCACGACTGTTCGAGTCCCAGTACTCTTTATTGAGTACTTTGCTCTTTCAACACCCTGAAGCAGTCTATGGAGCTGTGCACGTGTTTA